GGGGGGGGGAGTGGATAGACAAAAATAATTTACCGCATATAATTTATATTAGTTTCGAATTTTTGTTATTCGAATAACATTAATATTGATAATGATACTATTGTTGGAAGGGGGGAATTTAAAAGAAATGGGGGGGGGGGGGTGGTTCAGAAACAAAGTGCAAGGGCTTGAGCTAAAACCGAGCTGTTCAAGGAAGGAAAATGAGGGGAATAGCTACTTGGGGGGTTACGATACCTAGGTAATACACACACTTATCAATCGATGAAAAATGGGATGGTGTTATTAGACGAAGGCAAAAAATACGAATAGCATCGAGTGGGTAAAGGATTTGAAAGGCAAAGTGGAGGCTCTAATCCGACGAGTCTAGTAATGGATTAGTATTATTTTTTAAAAGAGTGTGTATGTTGGTTAGGAGGAAGAAAAAAGAAGAAGAAGAGGGGGAAGGCGAGAAAAGAATAAGAAGCTGTCGATATAAAATAAGCACTATTACAGGCTCTGGTAAGTAGGAACAAGGAGCAAAATGAATGGCAACGGAGAGATGGGGGAAAAGGAGAGAAGGAGAATGAGAAGAAAATATAAACTTTCCGGGGATGGATGGAATGCTTAGCGGGGAGGGAAAGGAAGACGAACTTCTGAGAAAGGATCACAGCAAATTGTGAGAGAATTAAAATTTCAAAAAAAAAGAGAACTGGAGAATTGGTTGGTTATGAGAGAAAGTTCGTTTTTACTTCTTGACCTCATTAGTCAAAATCTGGAAGAGCTCCTTATCGGCGAGGCAGCCGTCGACGAATTCCTTCAGTGTCAATTCCTTATCGTTGTTCACATCCATCTTCTCGAAGATCATCTTAGCCCTCTTTCTTGGTGAGTCGTCAGCCGACTTGGTTACTTCTGGACCGAGCATCTCATAGATAGCCTGTAAAGGAAAGAGTGATGATGTTTTTATTCCCAAAAAAACTCACCTCGATAATCTTGATCATCTCCTTCTCATCTATCGTTCCGTTTCCATCGATATCGTACATACGGAATGCCCATTCCAATTTCTGTTCAGGCGTTCCGGAACTCGTCACATTAATTGCCAATAAAAACTCTTTGAAATCGATAAAACCCGAATTGTCTGTATCGAACGTGCGGAATACGTGCTCACAGAACCCTTCTGCTGATCCCGACGGGAAGAAGTCTTTATACACCTTGATGAACTGTTCCTTGGTGAGATGACCTTTAGGACAGTCTTGCTGCAAAATATATCAGTTTTAGACTAATGCCACTCTCTTGAAATTGTTTTAAAATGTTTCTCACCACAAATCCTTTGTACCATTCCTTGATCTGCTCCTCAGTGAAATTCGTGTTCTTCTTTAAAAACTCCAAATCTTCTTTGGAAAGTTTCGGCTTGGAACCTTTGATTCCCATGGTTTGTGCTTATTCTTCTAGATGGATTGGCTGAGCTGAAAAACAACAGAGATATTATTCAGAAACGGGAAGTGATGAGGAGATAAGTGATAAGAAAAATAGAGATATTAAGAAGAACAAGGGAAATGACACAGAGACGACGATGAAAAAAAAGAGATTGAATGAATAATAAAAAATAACGAGGAGCGCGAGGCGGGGGAAAGAAGGGAGGAGGCGCCTCTGAATTGATATGGGGAGGAGGGAAGATGATGAGAGCATGTTATATGCACTAAACGGCGCCGTCAGACGCGCCCGCTTGCTGCCGTCTGACTGCCATCCGTCTCTTCGCTCATGAAAACCTACAAATCGATGCTGGTGTATGCGTGCGTGTGAGTGTTGGTGAGTGACGGATGAGTGCTTGAGAGAAATCATTCGAAGAAGTTGCGACGCAGAAGGAAATAGAAATATTTGAAAAAGAAATCTGAATGAGTTGGGAATTCGAAAATATTACTGGCTTTTCAAATTTGCTAAGAGGGACTTGTAAATAGCTCAGTCCTAGTTACTATTTTGGTACAAAAATCGGAGCTGTGGAAGAAGAACCGGTGGCCGTGGCCGAAGGTTTCACAACGACAACAACTACCGTAACCTAAAAATATGTTTATTTTCCGAACTTATTATCTTGTTTT